AGCAACCTACAACAGAGAAAAGATCTAAGGGAAGGCAAAAGAGAAGATGGAGAGACAATATACTTGCAGAAGCAGGAATTAGATAGACACAGTGTGCTAAGAATAGGAAATAATGGACTGATCTGATGGAGAGCTACATCCAATGAGGGATGACTACAGTTTAGATAGATAGAATAGAAAGCCAAGGTTTTCATCTATCAAATGACGTATTGTACAATGTTGTGTTCTGAACAGATAATCATCAATTTCACTCAGACTACAAGCTCCGTTCCCAAGCTAGTTTGGATAAATTAGAAAACCAATTTATGCACGGACTATTAAAAACAAACACTCGTTATATTCAAGGATAAATCTGTTTTTAGTTTATTAAAAATATTTCACTAAAAAATATGATTTTTTGTATGTGAAAGACATAATGTTTTCTGAAAGACTACCAAAATTTTGTGAAAATATACACACTATATTAACAGTTAGTAGTATCAAACCTATAAAGATTTTGAACGATTACAAAGAGGTCATGTGGTTGGTCAAACTGATCGAGCCCATGTTGAGAGGGTTATACCATCATTCATTATTATCCCAGCTGGCCTAAAGCACCAAATACTTTAGTTTGAGTACCGTTAATAATCTTAAGTATTTATTTATCTACTGGTGTGAAGCATCTGCAGTAATGAAGTCTGTAAAATGTAATAAGACAGAGAAGCTAATAATTCTGAGATTTACAACTGCTGGTTTCTAGCAAAGAAGTACATCATTTGCATTTCAATTACATTTTGTTGTACACTTCTGTCAGCCAGACTTTCTTCACAGTACTAGAGCTCATTAGACCACTTCCAGGTCTATTTAAAGTGGTATTTATACTAGTTTTTTCTTAAAACTGTATTGGATAACTTAATAATTCCTAGATAGAATAATCAGCTGTGTTTTTTGATGATTTATAATACTTTACAGTTTAAAACACAACTTCTGGTTAATGTCTTCAAGCAGTCTCATTAACTATCATAAATAACATTGCTTGTGGATGGTGATTAGAGAATAAATTGTCAAACTATGTATCTGCTACTGGTTCATTATGTTTTTGGTAGTGTTCAACCAGTAAATTATGAATAATAAATAACATTACTTGTAGATGGTGATTAGAGAATAAATTGTCAAACTATGTATCTGCTACTGGTTCATTATGTTTTTGGTAGTGTTCAACCAGTAAATTATGAATAATAAATAACATTACTTGTAGATGGTGATTAGAGAATAAATTGTCAAACTATGTATCTATTACTCGTTCATTATGTTTCTGATAGTGTTCAACCAGTAAATTATGAATAATAAATAACATTACTTGTAGATGGTGATTAAAATGAGAGCTCATTGTTTAAAATGATGTATTTTGTTATAGTGGAACAATTTTGTCATAGGCACATTTAAAACCATAAGTTTTATTCAGGAAAGCTTGAATACGGTATATAGTATTTTAAAGCCATATAATACAGCATTAATTCCTACCAAAATCACTTTCTCACGTTGATTTTATATCTCTTCTTTTTCACTTTGAAAAATACAAGATTGACGAACTTACTCAAACATGTGTCAGTGTGAAAATCACACTAGTGGAGCTTCATCGAGGAATAAGTGTGATATGCTCATTGAATATATATGGAAAACATATTGAACACCTTATGTGAAAACACCCTGTGTCATCTTCAGACCTTATTAAATATGGCTCGTGATTCTTTATGTACTGCTGATGAAAGTTAGTTCATCTAGGACAAGCAGTTTGTAAGATATAATCATTTAAGATATAGGTTTTCTTTGTAATCATTCCTGTATTTACCTGAATGTCAGTTTGTGTAAAACTATATATATCAGGGTTTGCAATGTATCTTTAACTTGTTCATCCAAGCTCATTAACAATCTACTAGTATGTGTCAGTCCAATAAATGAAGGTTAAACCTATGCCACATTTGTTTTTTTGTAAAGCCATTAATAGAGTTTACAAAAAGACAGAAAGGAACCACTGTATCTTACAAAACACTTAAACTTTTTTCTACAGATGCAAAATATTCATCTGGTGGTGTATGTTTATGAAGATTGGAGTAAGATTTTTCTATAAATAATATGTCTTATTTTCTAAATTTTTTTTCTGAAATTCATTTGACTTTCACATATGTTATATAGATCATTAAACT